AGAAAAATACTTTATTACAACAAAGACTGATTACTATTTTAGCTTTCGAACATTCAAGCACGGTAGGGGGAACCCATGGTTGAATTAATACTATACATTAATTGAACCTGGAATTAATATATTAATAGTAGAACGTGAATTCGGTTAATAAAATACATTACATTAATTCAACCATGGGGGAACCTATTTGTAGGAACAGCGCCTGGCATCTTTGTTTACTCCGGATCCCTGGCGAGCGTAGCATCGATCGAGCAGACTTGTTTCAACACGAATCCTTGGCTAGGACTTCACTATTGCAACCGTCTTTAGTATCCAAATTGTCATCGGGCACTTTAATAACAGTTGATAGACAAAAAGAACTAAATTTTGAGCTGATCCCTGGACGATGTCACTTCCTTGCAAAACGAACTTCAATTTAAAGATGTGCTTCTTTGCAAGTATGGAGAGGAGCCTGCCAATGAAGAGAATGAGGACGAAAAATCAAAATCATCCTTTAATCCTTATTATTTTCCGTTCAGAAAAAATCAGAATGGTTACTTTCATTTTCATAAGACATCGACCGACATTAAGGGCTGAAACAATACTTTCCCAAACTGAAATATGAACAAAACATATGAAACAATTGAATAGTAAATCCATGTTTTGATCAGCCGAATGAGCTTTAAGGACCATTCTATAGAAAAAAATTCACTAAATTGCCCCTCGTCGGCGTGGTTGGCTTAGCGTCAGTTCGACGAACGTAGTTTGAGCGCAAACTTACTTGTTTGTTTAGCCCCACGCAGAAGCCTTCGCAGGGAGTTAGACCCTAAACTTAGAACACCAGAAAACTCTTTCTTTTGCAGCCTATACGTGAGACTTCTGAGTGACGTGCTTATGAGATGCACTCAACAGCCTAACTTAGTTTACTTTCCAAAATGATGAGCAAGCTTTGAAGTTCAGTAAATCCCGGGAAATGATCAATGAAAAATGTAATAAGTTGGGTGTCATTTCCTGTCTTGTCATGAGTGTCTTGTCAGCATAATAAGTCGTTGGAAATGGCTATAATGGGTGATTTTTGAGCACAATAAGTGGCAAGAAATGTCTTATGGGTGTCTTTTCTTGACAATAAGTGGCAGGAAATGTCTCATGGCTGTCTTGTCATGACAATAAGTGTCAGGAAATGTCTTATGTGTGTATTTTCATGCCAATAAATGGCAGGAAATGTCTCATGGGTGCCTTGTCATGACAATAAGTGGCAGGAAATGTCTCATGGGTGTCTTGTCATGGCAATAAGTGGCAGGAAATGTCTCATGGGTGTCTTGTCATGGCAATAAGTGGCAGGAAATGTCTCATGGGTGTCTTGTCATGGCAATAAGTGGCAGGAAATGTCTCATGGGTGTCTTGTCATGACAATGAGGGTCAGGAAATGTCTTATGGGTGTATTGTCATGACAATAAGTGGCTGGAAATGTCTCATGGGTGTTTTGTCATGACAATGAGGGTCAGGAAATGTCTTATGGGTGTATTGTCATGACAATAAGTAGCAGAAAATGTCTGGGTCTTGTCATCGCAATAAGTGTCAGGAAAAATGACTCAGGCTGTCTTGTATACATATAAAATAAGTGGCAGAAAATGGCTCTTGAGTGACTAGTCAGCCCAATAAATTGATGAAAATGACTAAATGACTCCGGATGTCTTAAAACACAATAAGTGGCAGTAAACAACTCTTCGTTGTCTCGCTAGCCCACGAATCGCTTGAAATGACTCTTGAGTGCACAATCATTCGATTATACTAGTACATAGATAATGTAAGAATGCCTGCATGTATGGCAAAAAGTGGCCTCACGCATGAAAGTTTCCCTTCGTTAGTAGCATCTTAGCAGGTTATGGCGCTGGCCTAATGGCCTTAGCAATAACATTATATTTAGAGAGCAAGGAAGGAAGCGGTACAGAAACGCTCAGTCAACGCTGCTTGAACGGGAGTGAGTGAATTAGGTTTAATATAATATTATATGTTCTGTGTGTATCAGATTGAAGGGAGACATTTTTCTGTTATATTGAATTTCGTTGCAATCAAATAAAGTCTACACACATAGCAGGCCATGGGTCTATTTCTTCAGTGCCGAAATTTCTATTCTATTTCTATTCAACAAAATTGTTTAAGGAAATACAGGCCACGCCAATACGCAAATCATATGTACGTTGATGCGACCATGATGAAAAAAGTCTTAAAAAACAGACCATACATAAACCTGCATTAGATGAAAATTACTTAAATTATTTCGCAAGAAAAGTTTTTAATGAAGAAGCATTATACGGATGATCGACACAATCTTTAGCCATATTATCGCTTAATGATATGTCATTCCTGTTTGGATTCCGAAGAGCTAGGGAATAGAGCTGGTTTGAATTTAATTTATTCAGCCTGGGTTCAAGAATTGCTGTTTAACTTATCCTGCTAAACATCAAAAACAGGAATAAAATTTATTGCTGCACAATGCAGATGCATGTCTAAGCTAGCGGTAGTGAAACTAAGCGACAACTAAGCCTTTTGGCGTGATTCAGTTTATTTTGTGTTACAAATCTCATCAAACTGAGGATACATGGTCCAGATTGAACACTAGAACAATCTGCTTTATTTATTGTTCTAATCAAGAAGTCTGAAGTTCATAATAAATGCATTGCATCATTTAGTATGGAGCTTATAATATGCAATTTCTGGAAATGTGGTCAGTCGCTGGAAGGCTTGCGAGAAGGCGAGACGTCGGTGTGGTGCAGTCGCGGCTAGCGCTGTTGCGAGTCGTTCTATCCTGGGTCCCTGTGCTAACACTTTTTGTTAAACTATTTTCATCCTATCGACCATTAGGTAGTTTACTTCAAGTGTCACTACTAGTCATTCTAATTGAAGTATTCATCGTCTATGGTTAGTTTGAGTGAACAGCATATGTGGCCGACTGGCACTGCTCTCTCTCGCTCTTCTCCGGATCTCTAGCCTCGATTTGTATAGCCGCATGGACTGCAATCTCGAAATTCTGCTGTCTCGTTTTCAAAAATTTGTCTTGAATTTGAGTGTGCGCAATGGTTTCTATGAGGGTTTCAATAAAGTAAGTTCACTAACGGCTAGATAATTGGCAATCTTTGTCTGTGAAATTCATAAGCAGCTTCTTGAAACTTAAACGTCTGGACAAAATTTTTCAAAAATATTTGTTAGTAGTACTTAATTTTTGTCTCAAATGTCGTAGCTACTAGCAAACTGCGGCAATGAATTTATTTTTGTTGAAGACTTTTTATTGAGCTCTAATATTTTGTAATTTCAACATGACTTCCTTGCTTTTAGTGAGAACTCGAAATGCGTGAAAAATAAAATAATTCTGGTATATTAAAAAGAAATTTTCTCATAGGAAGCATAAAGTTGTTAAACTAAAAAACTAAATTTTTAATTGATAAATTTGAAATTTCATGCGAGAAAAAATTCTACAGGACCATGTAATAAATTGATTTGAAAAATTTGACAAACTAATCGTTACGGGAACACGTTTTAGGAATTACATGAGAGACTTTCCATCCCAGTGCTTTCCTAAATTTCAGCGTTTAATTTCTTAGGAATTTGAGCACATGTTTCCAACGCAACCAAGCGTGGCAATAGAAATATTCTTACCTATCTTATTCTAAATGAAACTGGATTGCGATAAATTGTTTTTTTATAAAGTTATTAGTTATTATTAAACATGTAATTTTTCCAGGTATTTTTGAGATTGAGTTCGTGCGTGTCTTCTGAGTCCTCAGCTTGTATATTCTCTCAGAAACTCTTGACAAAATAGTTTTGAATAGTTTCTTTGTGCTTTATAATATTAATATTTGCTGTGTACTTACTGACATCAAGCAACAAACAATGCCAGTCAAAGAAATTCCTCGGAAAATGTTAATTATGTGCCTAATATTATTCAACATAACACAATTCGTGTGATGTACGATACAGAGCTTATTTCGTATGTTTTTGTCTAAAGAGTCGGAAAGAAAATGCGGTGCACATGTGATAAGCAACTCCCGAAAAATGGGCCCCCAAATTTCGCCTTCGGTGAACGCCACATGCATTTGGATGTAACGTCCTAACAATTTATTTCTTCGAATCTAGAAACAATGCTTCAAACTGCGTTGAACAAATTAAATTTCAGTGCAATAAACTTCGTATATACTCAAGTCAATAATTCCATGAGTCTGTATGTACAAAAAACTTATTTCTGATTATTCCTAACTCAACTATCTAACATGACGAAGAAGCTTGTGAATCCTTCTGAAAAAATGAACGATATTATTCATGTTTCGTATCTTCAACATATTTTATCTCGAAACTCAACTTCATTGCTAAATCTTTCATACACTCTTATGACATGAGAACTTTTGCCAGAGATCATCTCTACGCAGAACCAAATTCCATCAGGATTCCATGAACCAGATCTCACTACTTCCTACATTCTGAAGTCTTGTGTCTCTCATAGTATGAATTTTTGAACCTGTAATTCTAATATGTATTCATTATCATTCTCAGTCTGTCATGGATCAAACCAAATGAGGCATTTTTTTAAAGCCCTCTTTGTCGCTGACTTGCGAGAATTCGAAATCCCAGGTTTTACTTAGAAAAAAATTCAAGAATTACGACTCAGACAATCCTGTGTAATAGGACTTTAGACTCGCTGCTGGGAACTTCATTAGTGTGCGCGAACAAATTAATGCTGTGTAAGGATATTAAATGTTCCTTGAAAGTTAAATGTGCTGTGACAGCGAAAATAATGTTTAGAATTGTTAAGACCAAGCAAGTGAATATTCTGATGTTCCAATCCTTGTAAGTCTTTAGAATACACGTTGATTTTATTGCAATTAAAATCTTTGTTTTATCGAATCAAATTGAATTCAAAAGCTATAAAATGTTTACAATTATAAGTGCTTAATGAAGGATATATTAGAATCTTACACCCATCTGGGCCCTATGAAGACCGTCTCTCAATCGCTGCTCGAAGCACGATGTCCGCGCGACGTATTTGGCACTTAGGCAGCAAGCGGCTGAGCGGTGAATCTCTGGGCAGTCGGAGCGTTAGATATTCATACCGCGGTGGTGGTGGTGGAGGTGGTGGAAGTGTAGGTTTTGGTGGTAGTGGAAGTGGTGCAAGTGGAAGTGGTGGTGGAGCAGATGATGATCTCGATGACATAGCAGTTGTGAGCAACGCGGCGCCAGGTCAACTGAAGTATGGAGCAGCTGGTGTCAACACAGCCAACGGTCCCAGGGTCGTACCAGGTGAAAACTAAATGTAAAACAATTTTAAGTTTTACCTGAGTTTTTTTTTTTAAACAACTGCAAGCATTTTATATGTTTCTAATGCGTGCGCTTCCACAGAAATAGCAGGGAAAAAAATGAACATTTATCAATACAGTTAATCTAATATTATAATATCACTTTATATTTTATTAAACTTTCTTCGCCAAATACATACTGTTATATATTATTAATAATTTTAGCGCTACAGCGTGCCGTAGTCGATGGTGAATTTTCACAAACTGAACTTTTTGTTGAGGGTGGGGCTGGGGTGTTTTTTTTATCATCATACAACTCTAGTAAACTAGAGATTTACTCACTTTTTTAAAGGATGTTCGAACAAACAATTTAACGGCGCTTAACACCGGCATTCAAGCATCGGCCTATAGTCATTGTTCACATCAAGTACAGAAGGGATTAACGAGCGATTGGACTCGCGATTAACAAAGTAATCCTTGAGTTGGCTAAGAATTTTTTTGACGGCACTGAATAAAAAATTAAGCCAAAAAGCACCCTTCACAGATGGAAAGAAAAGGAAAAGAATACAAGGATGCAGAAAACCTTTTTGATGTAAACATAAATGTATTTAGTTCACAATGACGACATAATTTCATTCTCATGTCGTAAAAATTTTTAAGCCAGCTCCGCGACTGCTCAAGACGGTTATTTTCCGATACATTTCCTATTGTGTAAATAGTAACACACTTTCTTACACCACAGCACGAGTAGAGAGCGAGATAATGACTAAAACGTCCCTTCTCCGGCTCACCAGGGCTGAAGTACATCGATATCTGGGCGACTCACTTAATTTTCTGTGTGTCCATGGGAACATTTGTGTGTAGATGCCTCTAAGCTGCGCATTATTGCTGCCTATACTGGCGCTAAAGTTTTTTGTGCCATTGACTTGCATTTGCGGGAAGAAATTTGCTTTTTAGGTGAGCAGTTTCCGCTGTTTTCGCGCTTCCGATATTAAAAATTTGGCAAGATTTTAATATGGACATGACCGCGTCGAACGCAATCTTTGTAAATTATTGAAATTATTATTAAAAAATTATCATTATATAATTGACAAAATCAACCCTGTACTTACAGTATGTGATACTATATATGAGTACGTGAAAAAGGTCAAACCGAATTTTTTTCTGGAAAGTATTTGATGAAATAAATAAAAGGATTTAGGAAATGAAGAAAAGTTTTTAAAATTTATAGTTTGACATTGACACGGCGCGTCAAAAATCTTTTATGCTTTGAATAAGTGATATATACTTTTTCAATTACGTATATATCAATAAACGCCTTTCAATATCAATCATATGTGAATAAACAATAGTATAATTATGAATAAAAACAACTGAACTTATGGGCATTATAATAAAGCAATAAACACTTTCTCACTAATTAGTGCATCGAACATAGATTGTGAGCCAAATACGTACAGTTTTTTAATTCCAATTGATGCGACAAGGAAAAAACTGGCTTGATTTCTTCAAGAATAAATTGGCAATTAATTTGTGCGGTCACTTGAAGATTTAAGTAGATCTTTAATTTTTATGAATAAAATTAGAGCGCAATTCTAGTGAAAAAATCGTGAAGTAAATTAAAATGCGCGGGGCAGACTCGTTCTTTTCCAACAATTGCAGGCTACAAATGACAAGTTTGGTAACCAAGCTCGTTAATGATACGCGGAACAGACTGTTTTTTTTTTAATAATTGCAAGAGTTGCAGACTAAAATTGGCAAAGTTTATTAAACAAGTTATTTAATTAGATCATTCCTTCTGGTAACCTGTTCTTTGATGCCAGTGCTCATGGATTTACGAGTTAATCCCAGGTAATATTGTCGGACAGGATATTTTAAAATAGCACAATAATTTATTTAGCCCTCAAATTTCTTTACATTCGGAATATTGATGATGCCCATGCAATGCGAAAATTTGGCGTGTTATGATGCATCCAAACAAAGATTTTACTTGGCTTTAATTAATGGTAAATAATGATACGTGTTCTCATGGTAGCGATATTTTACGAGCAGAAAAAAGCTATGGAAATTAAAAGTTATATTATAGGTACATTAGGGGTAGCTAAGTACCCTAATTATATGTATAATTATGTATAATATGGGGTAGGTGAGGACAATGTTTAAAATTGAATTGCATGGAAAATGGGACAATTATTTTTATTTATAAGTGCTAAATATTAAATAAAAATAATCATCACACTATTGATTACATCGCTATATATTTAAGCAATGATTCCAACTCTTCCATAGACTATAAATAATAGAAATACGAAATAAAATAAAATGACTCAAGGTACCCCGACAGTCCGTGTCTGTTTGACAGTCCGTGTTGTACATTATATCATCAAAATTATAGTTAAATTTCAGGTTAAAATTTAATCGTTTTGTTACGCATTTAGTTTGATTGCTGAGAATTACTTTAATGATTCATATTTATTTTTCTTATATACAGAATGTTTTGATTTTTCCGTACGACACAAGTAAAATATTTCATAATTAAATTTTTCGTCTATTGGATTTATTATTCAGCCTGCATGTAGGGTTTTGGATGCTCAATGAGTGATGCATTACAGGGCAACACGTTTCTCTGCCACGTCAATCAAGGCACTAATTTGTGTGCTATAACTATCTTATACTGTTGTTAAATTTTATTTTTTAAAATTAAAAAATAATTGGCGCATCTTTTCTTACTTTTTTCTATTACTAGCCTTCAAATAGAAATAAGAAATAACAAAAAATGTCCTCCGAATCTACGACACCCGCATGCCTCCAAGTAACTGTCACTGGTATAACAACATCTAACCCAGAAAAATTTCAATATTTACACGATGTCAGCTTTCCAATTTCACGCATGACAAAGTATTTGGCATTCAATGAAAAACTTCTTAATCTTGACCTTACTCAAAGTCTCCCAAACTTTAAGTTATCGCGTACCAAAAGGAAGTTCTATTCATTCACTGCGGACCATCGTGTACCAGAAATGTTTATCAGTACCTTCAAATGTATTGGCAACGCTGGAAGCTCTATATGTTTATTAAACATTTCTTAGCATCCAAGTCTAATTTTTTATCTGTTTGCGGCTACGTTTCATTGCTATTCAGTACATCGATAGTAGAAATTCTTGCTTATTAGTTTCTAAAATTAAACAGATCGTTCACTGCCATCAGACGCTTGTCAGACAGCTTATTTTCAGCCTTCCATGGTTTGAACCATCAACGCGTATTTCTAGGTTGACGGGTCGAAAGCTATAGATTGTATATTTTTCATATAATTATTTATAATTTGGTTCAATTATATCTTCGCAGCTGCTCATGGTAATATTTAACATTAAAGCTGCCCTTTGGCGCCTGGCTTTATTTTCTATAAATAATTTTACAAACATGATCATATTTTCATCTGCCTATTCTCTCTCGGATTCGATTTTGAAAGAAAATATTTCTTCAGTTAACGGCGTTTTTTAATGCTCATCCTTTGTCATTTTTATTGATTAGTTAATGTTCGTCCAACAATCCCTCTTTATGGCAGTGGTTGCTCACATTTTTATGTTGCCAATATTGCCACATTGTCTATATGTTGCATATGTTGCCACATTGTTCACCGAAATATGTTCAGCTCAGCGCATATTAAGCATATGCCATGGCCATCGATGCTGCAGGGCTTCGAAATAAATTCGTTTTATTGCCAGTAACATTGCAACGCGACCCCATCTTTGGCATCTCAATGTGGTGTGTGATGCCCGCATCTCTGTGTCGAGAGGAGACATCCTCGCCATTATGATCTATTTTGTCTGATTTTATTGTCTATGATGGATAGGATGCATGTGAATTAGGTAGGTTTGTGGCGTGTTATATACTATGAAGTGGTAGCAATGGTTTAGATAGCCATGGTAGATATGACCCTGATGCTGGTAATTATGATAGATGAGCTGCGATAGTAGAAAACATAGCCTATATCCAGTGAACCAAATGAAACCGTGTAAACCGTGACATGTTTTTCGATTTATTTTGATGTATCGATGTTATTGGCTGTGGTATTGATGTTTTTTCAGTTTTTAGCCTTACTATTCATTTATTACCTTTTTAATCAAACATGTACAACTCACGTACGTTTTCATTTCATGCGCACGTCCGATTTACATTCGTTATTTATAGGAAAATAGAACAGATTTGAATTTTCGTATAGAACAGCAACTGCAATATGAAGAGCGGGTCACTTGTGCATGCAACGATAACCGCGGAAGAAAATATTGCATTTTTTCTAATTTAAAAGAAAATTCCTGAGGTCCTCGGCCCGAAAGGGGCGTGTCGTCATGGCAACGTGAATTTGAGTGACTGCAGCCACTAGCGTTGAGGGGAAGATGACGTGGTGGTGATGAATTGGTGTGTTTTGTCAAAAAATGCTGACAAATTGTTGGTTGTTGAGTTTCCAGTATATGTATATCCATCGGAATTATGTTCATTTATTCCATGATGTTTTTTTTTGTTTGTTTCTAGTACTCGTGCTTCTATCGGATTTTAGTTCAACCATTAACATCTTTCGACGACTAATGTCACTATCGAAGATGTTGCAAGAATAAACTACCGTCCACCTGATCGTTGTGACTACCATGTGAAAATTGTTCCTACGATTCGTGATTGAACTCAATTCTCAATGCAATCAGCTTGATGCATCGTCACGTCATTCAATTTGATATAGATGCGATAAAAAATACATTTGTTGTCAAATTTTAAATTATATTTCCAGCTGGGTTCCAGAATGAGAATTAAACAGGCTATTAAAAAGTTCGTAGTTAAGTAAAGTCACTTATGTAGAATTGATTGGTGCTCTCACTACTTTACCGTCCTTGAGGCTTTCAATTAAACTATTTTTTATACTATTTTTTGAACTTCATCGATTTGCTAATCGATTTGATCTCGTCAATTGAGAATATCTCATTCAATCATACATTTCAATAAATGATCTATG